GTCACAGAATTTTTCCTTAGGAAACTGTTTCAGTAGACAGGCTGTGAGAACAGATAGTTCTCATTACTGAAAAAAGTTCGCTTCAATGCCATATAAACACAAAATGTGTAATAGGTCTCACGCCATAAAGAAAGATGGATGCAAAGTAGAACTTTTGTTCACGACCTCAAATAAGCGGGCTAAACCTTTGCTAAAGCAGCAGTTGCTCAAGTGAGGCTTGAGTTGAATAAGAATCACAGGGTGCGCTACGCACCGTGCCAGGACAGTGTTACTTGCCACAACCCCCTATCATATAATAACTTTTATGTCGCGTAGACGATGCGATGCACTAATGATATTCTCAGGGACGTTTGCAGTAATGTAAGGAACGGTGGCGAAGACTGATTAGCCAGATACTGCCAAGTGTGTGCGTTTTGTTGTGTACTAAATGTTCGGTGGTCTAACAGCGATTTGACGAAATCACTTGATTCATTGTATGATCAATAACTATTCACGGGCTGGTTGACGAGTGTGTTATTACCCTGTTACTATCTTTGACAACCAAATAATTTGTTTTCCTGGATAAAGCTGTATCTGTGCATGTGTTAGCATTGGTTCTTTATACAATTATGTGATTCGCTTTGAAATAAACTATTTGTTAAAAGTAGGGGCTGTGTGCCTTTTCGTCTTGTGCAGTGTTGCACAAATCTGTGCAATATCACTACGGATATGTGATACCAACAACACCAGAATCCAGGCCTTGATAACGGTTGCAGTTGTATATTCGTATATGTATTTTATACAACTGCAGGGGAACTGTCAGAGGGGGTCGTATTCTACACTATACACAACTACTGACAGCAATAAAGTGAAGGAATTCGTCAGGGCACATTACTAATTACTTCTAAACAATATTCTTAAGATTTGCCCTTACATTCAAAGAAGTTACAGCGGATGGTAAATACAGCTTCTGTTTGCTGGGCCAGCTGCTCTATTCTGACACTTTCTAGCTTTGTCTATGCAGTCGCGCAAGCCGAGCCCAAGTCCTAATACTTTTTTCGTTCCCACGATCGGTGAGGCGAAGCTGCGGTATAAGGCTCTGCTGCGAATGTCATGTATTGAGCCGTCGTTATGGCTGTAGAAAGTTTCCCTGATAACTGACTGATCACAGCAGGTAGTGAGAAGCTTCCAGTCTCTTCGTCGTTACCCGTGCATTGCACCTGGACGAAAAAACTATGTATGCCGATCTGTCTTTCCAACGCCATCAATTGTGTTCACGTACTGTCAGAGATACCCTTGTCTGGCAACAATGAGTGTAAAGCAAGGGACGTCGTACACGAAGAAAAATGCACAACTGCCGTTTAGCGCTCTGGTCTTCACCCACGTCTGCGTGCCGAGTCGGCAAATCCACAAACTGGAATGCGTGTGAGCTTACACGGGATGCTGAACGTGGTTATATTCGCTTTTGTAATTTGACTACTTCCTCACGCTGTCAATATGATGAAAGATGATACCTGGTGCTTCCGTGCGGCTTACGTAGGCAAGTACTCTGTTAATAGAGTACCCAACATTGCAGTCTTTAAAGTAATTCTTCGGGAACTTGTTGTTTGCTTCAGCTGGTCCCAGTCCGAACGAATATTGAAAAATTCAATGGCGGGCGGAATAGCTTAGTGGCCATCCATGCGGCTTTCAGGTAGTACACTGCAAGTCAGCACAGCCTGCTTCACGTGTAGCAAGGTGACACACCATGTAGAGCTCTGTCAACATCGGGCGCATTAATTAGCCCAGCCATGTTATCGTCTGACAGTCTTGACAAACGGGAGATACTTAGATATTGTGACTTATTTGCATTGCTTTTATAAACGAAGTCGTCACACAGTCGGCTAACGACTACTGCGAAGCCTGTAGATGTGGCATCGAAAATATTTCTGCTATCTTCTGGCAGGTCTGGCTGTGGCGGTAAAACACGCACGTGGTTATGCCAAATATGGAATCGTACTTTGACTTCAGCTGTGTATCCGCCAGCTGAAGATCCTCAACTGCGAAATTCAGCTCGTAATTTATACGCTCCAAATATCAGGCTAAGAAAATTGGCATATCCCACGTACAGTGGTAATTGGTGATATGCAAAGCTCGAATGAGGAAGGTTGATGTCTCACTTTAAAGTCACCACAACGTTATGAGGTAGAGGTGAATGATGCCGTACATGAGTTACCTATCATGATTAACATGTTTGGAAGTGTCATTTACTTTCATCATTTCTTCACATCACGTGATACCAAATATAGTAAATGTTTAGCTAGCAAAACAGCCGCCAGCACGCTATTAGTAAGGTATGTTGTCATGTTTTTACAAGACACGCGTTTCAGAATTAGCATGTTTGCACCAGTCATATATTTCGCTATCCATTGACATCGCGTAACACTGAATTTGGTATATGTGGAGCTAGCAAAACGACCGCGAGCGCATCGTGAAGGGTCCAGTACACTCTAATGTAGCACTGAAACGCGCGCACGCTGAGCACAGCGACGCTACGTTAGAAAAACGCGATAAATCTATAGTCTGACGCCAGGCGCGACCGGCGCTACCAGCGTTTGTTGGCGTGGCCCGACGGCAAGCGGCGCGATATTCGTGCCGATGCGTTACCCAGACAACACTGCATCTCCCTCTTTTCGTGGCGGAGGGACACCGGACGCGCTGAAACGCGCATGCGTGATAGTAACGCAGCGTACCGCACAACTGCGAGTTCACGGAAAAACCAGTGCCTGGCGTTGCAGCGCCAGCATCACGCGACGAAATAAACGCCGGCGAGCACGCGCGTCTCCTCAGGTCAAAATGTATTGGCGCCTTGACTGTGGCTGGTAGTCATGTTATCACATGACATGCATCTCATGATTATTATTTTTGAACCAATCACATACCTTTGTCATCTATTGACGTCACCTAGTACCGAATTAGGCATATGTGAAGCTAGAGAAATGGCCTCAAGTGCATCATGAGTGTCGCGTGTAGTCACGTTGTTACATGACACGCATGTAGGGATTATCATGTTTGATGTGTCATTTACCTATGTCGTCTATTCGCGTCACGTATACCGAGTTTGTAATTGTGAAGCTAGTAAATCAGCCGTGAGCGCGTCATGAGCGTAACATGTAGTCATATTGTTACATGACACACATCGCATGTTTATCATGATTGCACCAGTAGCATACCTTCGTCATTTATTCATGTCTCGTAATACCAAATTTTGTATAAGTGAAGCTAGCGAAACGGCTGCCAGTGCATCAAGAGCGCGGCATGTAGTCTTGTGGTTACATGACTCGCATCTCATGATGATCATGTTTGCATCAGTCAGATACCTTCGTCCCCCACTGACGTACTGTAATACCAAGTTTAGTATACGTGACGCTAGCGAAACGGCCACAACCTCATATTGAGCGTGACACGTATTCATGTTGTACATGACATGAATGTCATTATTTTCTTGTTAGGGTCTGTCGCTTGTGTTCGCCATTCAATCAAGTCATACCATACCAGTTTTGAAACATGCCATGTGAACTAAGCCACTGCAAGATGTGCAGGACCATAAATGTGAATAATGAAATTCTAGACATACATGTCATGACAAGACAATTATGTTCTTCATGAAATCATGTTATGCCATACCAAGTTCGGTACCAATACCATTATCTAAACGGCGAGGAGAGCTAAAAGTTGAAGGCGGCTAGATAGATAGATAGATAGATAGATAGATAGATAGATAGATAGATAGATAGATAGATAGATAGATAGATAGATAGATAGATAGATAGACTCAATGTCGCCGAGGTTCGCTGAGAAATGCTTCGCATTTAATAATTGATGCCAGATAGCTTGTCGGTAGTCCAGTTATCTCTCATCTGTCAGCATCGATATCCAGTTCGCCCAAAAATGCTGCCTCGCCTTATTTCGAAGGTTGTTCGGGACTCAATTCCTGGATCCGTGCCGAATGTTTGTGCCCCCGCCATTTCCTGCCACCTTGAAGCTCTAGCTGAGTGGTATCCCGTCCTCGGATTGCTTCGACCACGTCCCAAACTTTCTCTTTCTTAGCCACCGTTGAGGTTTCACACTTAGATGCTGACAGTTAAGGGGCTCACTTTTATCTTCTTTTACTCATTGAAGAATTACCCCCCCCCCTTCTCGAAGGTGGTTGGGGGCCACACAGTATTACTAATATTCTGTTCAGACTTCACGTTCTCTGAGAGCATTCATGGTCGGCGTCACGGTGTTGTCATCGTATTGGAAACCCCAGATCTCTACTGTTTCTCAGAGAATCAGTGGCTGTGAAGCGGCAGCCAAATTACAATATGTACCAAGTCAAGCCAATCTCCTTGAGTGTGTTGATGCCAAGCTAGCCGCTTAGAATGGTATAAGTGCGAGGGCCTGTCGTAACTCTGCGCTTTTTGTGTGAGTTGGTCACAACAAGACTCTGATTGCCCACAATGCTGGCAAGGTAGGGAGAGAAAGAGAGAGCAACATACATATAGTGAACTTAGGCTACATATGCAATGGCAAAATCTGCGTCATTTTGGATCTTCCTAATTATTTTTGTTAGTTGCGATTGTTCAATGTGCGTCTCATTGAACCTACGCGATTGCTTATTTGTGTATGGCATAGGCTCCCAAAAAGATATATGCAGCCCGGCGTTGTAAACTCGAATAAATGGCAGGATGAGGCTTGGAAGATAAATATTAAAACTCACCGAACGAGAAATAGGGACGTGAAAACTGTGCCACTAGCTGAACAAGGTTCGCAGTGAAAATCTAATGCTAGTTTGTTGGAGCCCTATTGAAACGAACATGTTGCTTTCGTTAATGCTAGATCTACCAAAAAACAAGCCCCCATAAATTTTATGCCTCTATTCCTACTGGTTGCGTTTCTTTTCTCAGTGTTTAAAAAACTACCCAGGAGAATACATTCAATATTGCATTAATTGTCATCGTTCACTACAACGTATGAACTGATATCATCAGAAGACTCACCTTAGCACGGGTCCGTACTTTTTCGCCCACTCAATGCACTTCTTTCGGTGGAAATCCTCTCGAAGCAATTCAACATGCCCTCGGATGCTAGTCCATGGTGGCATAGGTGGCAGTTTGCTTCCTGGAGGTAAACCCCACCACAGCCGCCACTCATTGAGAAAGCAAAAGACAGCCCGTACAATAGAAGCCACGACAGATGTCAAAAGTATTAGCATGGTCGTGATGGTTTCCAGCGATCCTGAGGAAGGACAAAAAAACAGATATCAAAGCAGCTTTTATCCCAGGCACGTTGAAAAAACGTTGCTAGGCAATATGGTGATATTGTTCGAACTATTGCATGTCGAATGCGCAATGAAAACATAAAGACCTAATACGTGAATACAGAAAATTAGTTTCCCATTTTTTACCAAACTCACTGTATGACTTCACTACTAAAGACAAAAGTTTACCAGCCAGTAACTTACAGGTTCAATGGTAATGACTAGCTAGACGGTACCTAGGTAGCTTGTGCAGCATACGGATGGGTGCGTTTATCGTAACTACAAAACGACGCTTCATTATGCTCAAGTGATGTATCTCCGTATATTATGCATTTAGGCATACCTACACAAAGCTGTACGTATTTGCGGCATTCAATGATAGTATAATACTGCTACTACTACTACTACTACTACTGTAACTTGTCGGTAAAAGAATAATATCTTATCTTTAATGTTCAAAAACCAATATTTGAATATGACGATCGGCGTACTTGAGAAAAACTTGCTCCTTGCAAATGACACCGCACTGTACTCAGGTCGCTACCCTTCGACCTCCCTGAAAATATGACCGCCCCAACCGGGATTGGCGAACAATATTTTGCAGTAACATGCCTAACTAAGGCTTTCGTTAATATTAATACTATTATACATATTATTATTATTATTATTATTATTATTATTATTATTATTATTATTATTATTATTATTATTATTATTATTATTATTATTATTATTATTATTATTATTATTATTATTAGAAATAGAGCACATTGCAGGGCCACCAGAAACTTTGAGCCTTATTAGGTACACTGTATGGCCTCTAGGTGAAATCACTATCACGCGCTTCATGAAACCCTTTCCTACATACAAGTGTGGCACATACTCGTATTGCTCGGGCCGCCATACACGCGTCTCTACTGTAGGTGACTGACAGCTTATTACTGCCCATAAATGGTGATAACAAACACTGGTAATCTAGATGCGAGAGTGTTAGGAGAATTTAGCATCGGCAGTGTCGACCCGACGAATGCAAAGTCAATCTACAAGCCTTCAGTTGAAACTGAACTCAAACATTCGGCATGGCAATCTGGTATTGTAACAAAGTACCACGCCAGCATTCGACACTGCTCATGAAAGGGAACTTTAAACCACCCTAGTGTAGGCGAAATGATATTAGTGGTTGTAGTGCTGGTTGCGTAATTTTAGAGACACTATACCTAAACAGTACTGATACAGGCATCAGAAAAGATTTACCTCTGATTTATATTCAACTACCATCCACAGAAGTGGGCAAGGTAACACTGGCCAAGGCCACCATCATTGCAAAACAATTACGACAGATCAGCTTGCCACTCTGGATTTGCTAACATCCATGTTACCGTTGACATCGTAACGCAGCAGTAAAGAAGTGTTAATAAAATGTAAGTGACTGTTCAACACCTGTCTATACGCAAAAGAACACATTACTTCAGCTTCAATTCATAGCGTTAAAATGAATAACATATAAAGCCGCCATCTTGTCGTATCCGCATGCATATCATAACATCAATTACCATGGTACTTAGGATCTTATGAATCATTATTGCTGCTATAATACCAATAGTAATACTTGTAAACAAGAAGTGCATCCTGCATAGCTCCGCAGCTATCATTAGCGCTACACAGGAGCGGCTCGTGTTGAATATTGTTGCTGTTCTCGCTAGGTAGACCTACGATCGCACCTTGTCTGCTATTACAACATCTGATACCGAAAGATGTCTCGCCTCTTTATCAAACTGTTGGAGGGTGCTGTGTCTTTCGGACATCCTGGAGTTGCGCAGCGAGACTCTACCTAACATCATGACCAGGGGTTCTATCCCACCAGTCCGCCCCTACCTGCTGCTGAGGCCACCACCTGCACCGGCATGATGCGTCAGCGGCACCCTCCAATATTCAGTGGCGCTGCTAACCTTGACGACGACGATTGGCTGTCCATCTATGAGCTCGTGAGTTTCACCCCGCCGTGGTGCTCTAATGGCTAAGCTACTTGGCTGCTGACCCACAGGTCGCGGAATTGAATCTCGACTGCAGCGCCTGCATTTTTGATGGAGGCGAAAATGCTGTGGGCTCGTGTGCTCGGATTTAGGTGCATGTTAATGCACCCCAGTTGGTCAAAATTTCCGGAGCCCTCCACTACAGCGTCGTTTATAATGATATGGTGGTTCAAGGACGTTAAACCCAACATATCAGTCTATTATCATGAGCTCGTGATTGTTCTCAACAAGTGGGATGACGCCACGAAACTGGCCTCCATGGGCATTTACTGAACTAGTATTGCCCACTTGTGGCTTCGAAACCACGGAACTGATTTCCTGACTTAGGCAACAGTTAAGAACACGTTCAACGAGGTCTTCGGTCGACCTGCTGTTCGAAATCGTCGTGCGGAAAAGCGCGTGGGCTCGCGCTCTCAACAGTCATGCGAGACATTCACAAGATATATTGACAAGCTATACCTGTGAACACGCGTCGATGCGAACATGGCATAGGCAGACAAAAACAAACATATATTGAAGCGCATTGATGAAGACGCATTCTAGATGCTGATCTCGGAGAGCTTGGTTACAGTCGCTTTGCTCATCATCTATGTCGAAGCTACGACAAACTCGGCCGGCAGCACCTTGTAACCCACCGCTCTGTTTATCATAAGGAATCAATGGCTTGGCTTTATTCCATCACAGCATCCCGTCCTTCTCTCGCCAATTGAAGCTTTTGTGCGTGAAGAGATTTCTCGTCAGCTCTCTTGCATCCCCAGCTTGCTGGAGCACAGTACGCCGCTCAGCCACACTGTAAAACACATTCAAGCTGGACAAGGTGTCTCACATTCTCCCAACAGAATTAGTGCTACCAGACACCGCACAGTGATGTATGTGGAGGCTGCAGCACTCCCGCGTCCGCAGGCGTTCTGAGCACCATCTCCGCTGTCTGCTCCTGCTTACACCGTCCCGCCTCCGCGACCTCCAGTACATGGAGTCTCCAAACCCTGGCGCACCCCCCCGCCCCACACAACATTACCATCTACTTTTCGTGTCGTCTATCCAAAGATGTCACACGCTTCTGCCATCACTATCTTATTTCCGAGACGACCCATGAACATCTCAATACGGGTGCACATTCTCCTACAATTCAAACCGTGAGTAGTCACCTCCACGCGGTAGTCTTCGACAAGCTCGTGACAGACACTCTTTTTCTACTCGTAGTCAATATCTGTCGCCAAAGCGTCGACGTTCACCTGCAAGCGACTGGGAAAACTAACTTGCACAGTCCGCGAGGCAAGAACCGCATCGCCTTCGCAAAATACAAGTCCCCTTCATTCGCCGCCAAATGTTATTGCTGTAGTTATCGAAGGTGTATCTGTTTTTCCTTTTGTAGTGGAGCATACGCACCAACGCGTATACGCCTTCGGAAGACAACAAAAAGCCCGTGCTCTGCTTGCGCGAGAGTTTGTGCCGCCTCTGCCAGACTTGCCGTACGCCCACTTTCCGTTGCGACCTCGCTGCGACTTCTCGGCTCGAATAAACGTCATCACATTTGGTGGAGGCTGCTGAGATCCCCAAGAAGACCTGGAGCTCCGCTCTCGCAAGTTGCCTGAAAGACTACCGCGAAACATGACTGACGCAGTCGCCAACCAGCCCGTCCCAGCCCAGCCAGCACCATCGGCTGCCCCGTCTACCTGCCCCGGCGCTACTCGCCAGCGGGACCCACCAATCTTCAGCGGAAGTGGTGAGCAAGACGTCGAAGACTGGCTCTCCTTGTACGAACGCGTAAGCGTCAGCAACAAGTGGGACGACGACTCTAAACTCGCTTACGTCATCTTTTACTTGGCAGACGTAGCTAAGCTTTGGTTTACCAACCGCGAAACCGCCATCACCAACTGGTCCTCCTTTAAGACCCTCGTAACAGAAGCGTTCGGCCGACCAGAGGTCCGCAAGCTCCGCGCCGACCAGCGTCTGCGCCACAGAGCCCAGCAGCCTGGCGAAACGTTTACGAGTTACATTGAGGATGTGCTCGACCTCTGCAGGCGTGTTAACCAATCTATGCCCGAAGAAGAGAAAATTCGGCAGATTCTCAAGGGCATTGAGGATGGCGCATTCCAGATGTTGCTAGCGAAAAGCCCGACCTCGGTGGCAATCCTCGTAAGCCTGTGCCAGAGCTTCGATGAATTACGCCGTCAGCGTTCCATCGCCCGACAGAGTGTCTCACCACCAGACTCGATCTCGGCTGTCGCACTCGCAAATGTCAACGTTCGCCAAGAAAGCCTGTCCAACCAGATCAAAGACTTCATCAGGGAGGAAGTCGCCCGACAGCTCTCCCTGCTGCCGCATAGCGACGCGCCCACCGCAAGTCTGCCTTCGACACTGCAGCAGGCCATACGCACTCAAATTTGCGATGCCCTACCTACAGTGCAGGCCCCTTACGCATGCACTTCAGCAGCATCTAATCTCTCAGCTGTCAGCTACGCACCACCTGCACCATCTTCACCTCTCAGCTACGCAGCTGTGGTTGCGCGACCCCCACCGCATCCAGTATCCTTATCGGCTCCAACTCCTCCGGCAGCGCCACCGGTTTACAGGCCCTCACCTCGCTTTTTCCGTCCATCTAATGAGTGGCGCACCCATGACAACCGTCCTATCTGCTTCGCGTGTGGCATCGCTGGCCACATTGCACGCTACTGCCGCCGGCGTCCCACACCTGCGTACGCCTCCTTTGGAACTCCTACTTATGCGTCGCAGCAGGCCACCACGTCTGCATACGAACAGAGGCACTCTGACTCGGATCGTCGCCCATCAACTTCTCGTTTCCCATCTCCTCGTCGCCGATCACCATCTCCTATGCGTCGTAGACCACCTCCTGAGGAGGGAAACTAATCAGTGCAGTTCCAGAGGCAAGAACTGCAACTTCTGCGCAATTATCAAGGCCTCCATTTTCGCCGCGAAATGTTGTTGATGTCAATGTTGAGGGAGTCGCCACACAAGCGTTAATTGATACTGGGGCCGCCGTTTCTGTGATGAACGCAAAATTTTGTCGCAAACTGAAGAAAGTGACCACATCTCTCTGTGGCATCGTGCTGTCCACGGCTAGCGCGCAACGCATTCAGCCCTCGTCTGTGTGTACGGCGCGCGTCGTCATCCAAGACGTTTTGTACATCGTCCAATTTTTCGTACTACCATCTTGCTCTCATGACCTCATCCTGGGTTGGGATTTGTTATCAGGTCATGAAGCTATCATCGATTGTTGCCGTGCGGAAGTGTCCCTAGTGCCAAGTTGTGAGTTTCCATCGCCCGACCATTCACCACTGCTCTGCAAACTCATCGCTGACGACGACATCACCTTGCCTCCGGAAGCTTCAGTCCCTATTAGCCTTTCATGTGTGGCGCAACCTGACGCCACGGTGGTGTTTACGCCATCCCCTGTTTTTACTGAACGCAAGGGCATCGTGCTCCCATTTGCCGTTCTTACGATTGCGTCTGGTTTAACCGTAATGCTGGTTACCAACCACTGTAACTACCCCATTGGCTTGCTTAGTGGTGAAACGGTAGGATATGTGCAACCTGTCGACCATATCAATGATATTATTCTTCCCGACGAAACGCCATGTCAGATTGCCGCAATCACTCAGGCGTCTGAGCCATCAAGCTCACCAGCCTTCGACGATGCTATTGACGCAGACCTTCCCCCCTCGCATCGCAGCCAACTTGTTGCTCTCCTTAACAAGTTTCGCTCTTCTTTCGACTTTCAGAAACCTGCTTTGGGCCGCACCACGACTGTCACTCATACTATTGACACCGGCTCACATTCGCCTCTGCGACAGCGTCCTTACCGCGTTTCTGCCGAAGAGCGCCGCGTCATTACGGAGCAAGTAGATGACATGCTTAAACGTGGAGTCATACAGCCTTCTCAAAGCGCTTGGTCGTCACCCGTGGTTCTGGTAAAGAAAAAAGATGGCACCGTTCGATTTTGCGTGGACTATCGCCGCTTAAACAAGATTACAAAGAAAGACGTCTACCCGCTACCACGAATAGACGATGCTCTTGACTGTTTACAAGGCGCCGAGTACTTCACATCCTTGGATCTGCGTTCTGGGTATTGGCAGGTGCCAATGGCTGAATGTGATCGCCCTAAAACAGCCTTTGTAACGCCAGATGGCCTGTATGAGTTCAAAGTCATGCCATTTGGGCTCTGCAACGCGCCTGCGACGTTTGAACGCATGATAGATACCATATTGCGGGCCCACAAGTGGAAAACTTGCTTGTGTTACCTAGATGACATCGTAGTCTTTTCAGCTGATTTCCCGACACATCTTCGTCGTCTCCACGAGATTCTGGCGTGTCTAGCTTCTGCAGGCCTACAACTTAACACCAAGAAGTGCCACTTCGCAGCCCGCAAACTAACCATCTTGGGACATGTCATCACAAGAGACGGTGTTCTTCCGGACCCCGATAAGCTTCGAGCTGTCGCTGACTTCCCAATGCCCACATCACTGAAAGCCCTAAGAAGTTTCGTTGGTCTTTGCTCTTACTTTCGTCGCTTCGTGCGCAACTTCGCGTCCATCATTGCACCTCTGACTAGTCTGCTTTCCAACAGCAAAGGTATATCTGCATGGTCACCTGCATGTGACGACGCATTTCACCAGCTGCGCCGCCTGCTGACCTCGCCACCTATTCTTCGCCACTACGACCCCACTGCTGCCACAGAAGTTCACACTGATGCAAGCGGCGTTGGTCTTGGCGCAGTTTTGGCACAACGGAAAGGTACCCAAACCGAATACGTAGTCGCTTATGCAAGTCGCGCTCTTAAGAAGGCTGAATTGAATTACTCCTGTGACAGAGAAGGAGTGTTTGGCCATAATCTGGGCGCTTACGAAGTTTC